CACAGAAAGGAGAATTCTACTTAGTAAGGGTTATAATCCCTAAGCGCAGCCGAAGGCCGCCTACTCAGAAAGAAGTACGTTTTCATGTATGCACTATTTCGGTTTTTGTCATATGCATTACTTCGGTTTTGAGTCGAAACTGTGCATGTATGCATTACTTCGTTTTTCTCATATGCGCTATTTCGGTTTTCAAACGAAAGTGTGCATGTATGCATTATTTCGGGTTTTTCATATGCATTATTTCGGTTTTCAACCGAAACTGTGCATATATGCATTATTTCGGCTTTTTTCATATGCATTATTTCGGTTTTCAAACGAAAGAGTGCATATGCATAATTTCGGCTTTTCTAATATGCCTTATTGCGGGTTTCAACCGAAACTGTGCATATATGCATTATTTCGGTTTTTTTCATATGCATTATTTCGGTTTTCAACCGAAACTGTGCATATATGCATTATTTCGGTTTTTTTCGTATGCATTATTTCGGTTTTTTTCATATGCATTATTTCGTATGCACAGTTTCCATATGCACAATTTCAGGGAGCCAACCCATGCTGATGCTTCGCTCGGGTCAGGTGGTTTATGTAGTGCGGGATTAGAGCGGCCTCTAGTGTCTGCGCTACCGGAGGGTTATCGGGCGATAAGAGTCTCCTTCGATGGATGGTTTCCCCGGTTTAAGCAGTGGGACCAATCTCCCCATTTTTCAGATCTCTGGAATGATGAGAGTGGCTATAGACAGGTTGAGGACCTTGGTTAGATAGTCCACTCCCGCAGGATCCAAATTTGTCAGCATCAGCATGCAAATTCCGTCGGGTCCTATGGCTTTGGAGGCTTTCGCCTTCCCCGTAGCTACCCTTACCTAATCGCTGGTAATAACAGGAGCACTTGGTGTTGGCAGTTTGAGCAGCCTTCTGGTCGCTCGACGTTTGGCTTTGTCCGCCGGAGGATTGTAGTATGAACTGCCGGCTAAAGCAGCTCGCCAAAAGATATTTCAACTCTGTCGTCACGCTTCGTCGGATAGGATAATGACCTCACGGTAGACCAAAGCTTGCTCACACCATAGGCGAAGCTGCAGGTCTTCAAATGCTCTTCCCACTTCTTCCGCTTACGTGCGTTCACTAGTTGCCGAATCTTCACGTTGAGATCCCTGATACGGGGATTTCCGGACATTCTAGGATGGCGGTTGATGTCTGCTTCGATAAGACGATACTGCACGGTGTGGTGCGTGATGAACGCTAGGCCACCACCATTACCTCGCTCGCGGTCTCGACGGTGCACGTTGTATATGGCGCAATTCAACAAACCGAGATGATTGTCGGAGGGATTAGGAGTTGCCGGCGACGGTGTGGGTGGAGGTGCTGTAGTGTGCGTATGTGTGTCTATTGTTGTGCCATGTTGGGATGTGGGTGTGTTGGTATTATGCTGCTCGGGCGAGTGGAGGCGGTCCGATTCACACAGCATGGGGCCACGACGAGGTGGTCCATTGCTGGTGCGTACGTGGCCCGAGCAGGTGCGGAGATGACTCACCCATCACAGGCATTGCGCCTGTCCTGGAGTTTGCATGCAATCGTTTTTGGCACACGCAGCAGGTGTATATTTCTGGCCCTGGGTTTGACTCTATGCCAGCCCTGAGCAGAAGGATACGTAGCAGATGTAGCCCTATTATCGAACAACGTTTGATGGATTTCGCCGACATAAACGGGGTTAGATCGCCGAAACAAAAGCCGTTGGTCTGGTAAAACCCGAGTCATTCCGGTACGTAGAACCGGCTGCCCTGGTTTGGTACCAGTCGTCCCATCTAATTCCACATTGACACAGCAGGACCACCGGTTGAATATAGAGCAAGAAGTATCAGTGAAACAAAACTGGCTGCAGCAAGAAAAAGAGTTCCAAGAATTTGATAAAAAAGCTACTTGAAGGCAACCATCCACTGATGCTTCGACATAGATTCTTTAATGACCAAACACCAAATTATTTAAACAATACACTTTAGTTCTTAGAAATATACAATATGTTGAACTATAAAACATAGCGACATGTGTCACATCATGCAAGTGCCAGTTCATATTATGTCGCTCATACATGTTTCACAATAACATATGAAGACACTGTCGAATAATTGAAATCAAATCATGCGTCAAATCTATGCATGTCAACACATGCGACAGCATTATTAAGTACATTTTATATACGGGAAGAAATTTTGTAATTTTTTTAAGTACCTATTATAGTAAAATGCATTAAAGAATTGTCTTATTAAAAACCTGTATATATTTTCCTCCAAGGCAGGATCAAACAGTATTAAAAATATGCTACAGAAGCACAACAGCGAACAACAGCTTAGCTGAGTAGCAATGACATGCTATAACAGTATGTTTGAGATGGAATGACATGGCATAACACCTTGTTTGAGTTGACATGCATGAAATTTTTGAAAAAGACATTTTTACAGAAAATATTGAATTTTGCAATTCTTTAATATACAAACACTGTACATTGCAAAATCTGATTTAAAAAGTAATTGCTAAGCATGTGACAGGGGTAAAAATAGCGAAATAAATTTAATAACAAGTAATTTTTAAGCAAAAAACACAACCGACATCAATTCTCATAATAAAAATTTAGGAGTACCGTTAATATCTTAATGATGCAATGATCGGTTCTAAACCAAATTAGTATGGGATCACTCTAAAAGCATAAACAGACGGCAGCGTTGATCGGGATCAACTCGTTAATTCGGAATTATCTCGGGAATTAAGTGCAGTTGATCCGAATTAAGTCCTAGAGTTAATTCCCAAACTTAACTCGGATCAAGGGAATTTTCGATGACAACACTGAACAAAACTCAGAGAGCGTAGAACACTGGGAAGATGCAAAATTAGCCTGGACATATACTTTTTCATCGGTAATGCAGTCACTCATACTAATTCAAATAGGAATCCAATTTAAAATGAATAAGAACTTATTTCGGTGACTGCATTACCGACCACAGGGTGGATGTCTATGCTAGTTAAGCAGTTTCTTTGTGTTCTACACTAACTGAGCAGATAAATCAACCGATTCCTCCATCCGCGGTAGCCGAGTGGTGAGAGCTGCGTACTACAAGCCTGTAGGTCCCAAGTTCGATCCTCGGTTGGAGCGATTGCCAAAAAAATTTGTTTTTATTATTTCTTTTATTTTTCTAAATTTTATTTGGTTTATATATTTAATTGTTTTTTATTTTGTTTTCGTTTGTTTTATTTTATTTCAAATTTTTTATTTTATTATCAGTTAATTTAAATTTTCAGAGTTTAATTTTATTAAAAAAGTCAAAAACAACTAACTAAAAACAACTTAAAGTTATAATTGAATCAATAAAAAAAATCAAATGAATATTCTACTGGCCGTGGGATTCGAACCTACGACCTCGCGGCTGGTTAATCCGCATTACTGCCGTCTGTCAAGGCACAATTTTGATCAGATCAATTGCGGCGTTAATCCGGATCAACGTTGCCGTCTGTCTATGCTTTCACATACATACATATGTACATAAAAAATATATCCCGCCGATTTGATAGCTTCCTGCTTTTTTGAAGTCGGTTAAAAAGTTGAACATTTAAACAAATTTCGAGAATAAACTAACCATGCCCTTCAATTACCTAATTACATCACTTAAAAAGTTCTTCCAATACATATGTATTTTTAATCTTGTAATGTAATGGGATTCAAATATAATGTCTATAGATCAGAAATACTAACCAATTGTCTTTCAAAATATCCAGGCAAATTGCACCAGTTACTGAGGATATATTTGGATGCCAGATTTTTGTTATAAAACGTACCTGAAAAGTCAAAGAAAAAATAAGAAATCAATGAAAGAAGAAAGTAATTAAAGGTTTTTTGACAGTATTTCATTTTGCATCTAGATTTTTAATATACATACAGCAAAAGGCATTATGTAATATACGTTACGAGTTAATACCCAGTGTCATCCGCTACGCTTGCAGGTATAGATCAACGTTAATGCTATTCGGAAGTTGCTTTATACGTATTCATTAGAATCAATTGTGCAACTAGATTCAATATCTGAGATTCCTGGCCCAAAAGTTTCGATACTAGTAGTTTATATATGGGCAAATCCTAGCGTTGCGGACGTTACGTTCGGACGCTTCTTTTGACTTTTTTGCCGAAAAAAAAATTATCAGTTAAATTTTTTTTTTTGGTATAAGGGAAGGTATACGTTGCTTTTGTTTGATAGGAACAGTAGAAAAAATTAAGCAAGACGAAGAAAAATACAACATTTAAACAGTCAGGAAAAATTTATCAATTTTTTTTTTACATCTAAGCGAAACACCAACGCACGAACAGCAAGAATCTTAATGTAGCTTGGACGAAAGTATTTGAATTTATAGAAAACAGAATAAACTCGACTGTCGAGCAAGAAACATTGATTTTTATTAATTTTAATCGGCATCCCTACAATCAGAGTTGCCACTTTGGTAAATTATTACCAAAATTGGTAGAAAAAATTTGCGTTGGTAAAAAGGTAAATTTTTTCTCATTCTGGTACACTTTTGTTAAAGTATTTTATTTGAAAACCGACTAAAATTTTGTTCCCGCTTTATTTTACGTAGTTATCTTTGTATTATGATTTTATTTCCAAAAGTGTAGTCTTCTTTATTGCATTAATTTTCGAACGCTTAATGCACACTTTTTATATACGTACATACATACATACATACATATGTGAGTATGTATATCGATAAAACGCGAACAAATCGTGCTCCATTAAAAACTCATTTCACTGAAATCTTGAGGAGCCTTTGAACATTTGAGCATTTTAAATGTTTCTTTAAAAAAAAGAAAAAATGGACAGGCTTGTATTTACACGCTATGATTGTACAAAAAAAATTATAAAATCACCGCAAGTTTTTATAAATGTCAAATGAAAATTAAAACACAAAGTACCGGCGGCAAATATATTTTTTGAATCAAATGGAGTTTTTAGCTGCACATTGTTGGTTA